ACAAATTTACAATTTTATTACTTGCTTAAAATGAAAGGAAAATTTCAAACGTATCATGCTAAAAACATGGTAAGTAATTATTTTAAATATTTCAGTGTTTAAATAATAATCTTACTATGATATGAACAATGAAGTTGCAAGACTGCAGAAATATATGACATAAACTTAATATATTTGGAAAATGACAAGAGAAAAGAAATTGAAGATACATTGTATGAAATTAATGAAGGTATACATGTCAATTGTAATTAAAATTATTTATTAATGGTGATAATACAGATGATGCTGCAGAGAGCAAACGTATGAATGACTTATCAAAAAGTAAGCTGCCTTACAGGTACATGTACAGAAGTAATCTATTTTTAACAATTGCATGCAATTTTAAAAATAAGTTATAGTACCCTGTTAATCTATGTTAACACAATCAATAGTTGGTACAAAAGACCCAAAATACTTGATGCCGGATTATATTAACTCACCGGACTGTGGCAATGATGATGATGATGATTTGTTCACACTTTCAACAAAATGGGGAAAAGAATATTTCACTACACACTATCCATCATTTGACCGTTCTAAAAGTGACAGGTAAATTTAAATTTAAAATGTAGAGGTAAAATTAAGATTTTCAATAGAGACTGCCTGTTTGAAAGAGACTTCATTCGAGAAACAGTGAAGAAAATGGAAGTAAGATTAAATACAAATTTACATCCCAATAATGTTCAATTAATCAGCCCACATTGAGACAAATATATAGTGGCGAATGCATCAGTACTTTTATCAAACACAGTGACAACAAATTTGTAATGTCAATTATTAACGATCTTACATGGATTCAACAGGATGATATGGTAAAATGTTGCATAAAACATTTCATACATGTAAATTATAGGTACAAGAACTCATACTTTACCTAATGGAGCTAGAAAGTGATATAAATAAAAAAGCTGGTCCAATTTTGAGTTATACTGGAAGGAAAATTGTTTGGCCTGAAGTAAGACAAATAAGTAGCATTATAATGCTTTCAAGTCAAGATTTTAGATAATTGCCTCCTTAATCATGAGTAAATATGGAATCAAATATGAAGCAGCTGTAAATTGTATATTAGAAAGCAAGATACCTACATCTGAACTTACTTACATTAAAGAATAATAAAAATAAAAACTATTATTAGGCCTATTATTATTATTATTATTATTATTATTACAAGTAAATAAAAAACATTAAAAATGGAAAAATAGTAGGATTGAGTAGGGAAAAAAGTAAGAAAACAAGAGGGTACTGCA